AAGTGTTCCAGTTCCTCGGGTGGGAAGATCTGTTGAGATGGAGCAAACTGCTGTTCCAGGGCGTGTGCCACTCACGCTGGGAGCAGTGGGCAGGTGTGAGTAGTTACGGTGCTTTGCAAGTCTAACACCTGTTAGCACTAGGAAAGGAAGCCCTCAGGTAAAGGCTTTGGCTCTAGTCTCTCCTTTCCTTCCTCCTCTGTTGTTTCAGACCTCGTGGAAGGTGTGGATGGCGCACGGTCGGTATGCAGCCATGTCCTCAGAGCCCCCCTGCAACACCAAGCACCTTACTGGGCTGTGGTAGGAGCTGAGGATGCTTGGCATGTACTCAGCGAGCGCTTTGCAGGCTTAGATCCATGAGGAGCTAAAATCCTAGAGAGAAGCTTTCCTAATTGCTTAAATCTGTGCTTGAGCTTTGCCACATACGCTGTAACGGTGGGTTTGCCCCAGCCCCACGGAGGGATTCCTGCCGCGCCGTCACGCTGCTGGCCCCACTGCCTTTGCAGCCTGTGACCACAGTGATCCTGCCATCGGGCACGGGGCGAGGAAAGGGGGTTGTTTTACAGGAGTGGGCAGTGCCGTCTACTTGCTGTGAGGTTACTCTGCGTGACTTGGGCTGAATGTAGAGCTTGGTCTTCATGGCTGACCCATGGGGGAACTGGGCAGCCCCCTCCAAGGCTCTGCAAGGCTTGTTGGTCGATGAAATATACCCATGGCTAATGTTTAGGTGGTTTAATTCTGTTTTTTCCCTTTCCTGAACTGGCACAGAAGTCTGTTGGGACAGGGAGGAAGCCTCTGGAATGCATTTTGCCTGTATGCGCTTGGCCAGATGCGGGGGGACCTCGAATCAGCCCAAGCTTCTGGTGCCTGTGCGGGCCCCAGCAGCCAGGATCTGGCCTCGGCTGGGCAAAGCTGGAGGCAGCGCAGGGCACGGTTGTGCTCTCCCACGGCTGCTGGGCCGTGTATTTTTCCTTGCTGTGCTGCACAAGCGATGTCGTGACTCATACCTCGTGGGTAGGGCTGATGGATGCTGCTCGCCTTTTTCCTCTGCCTCCTCCTTGCTCTGGTCCCTGATGGCATCTCCTGAGGCCGCGCTGCAACTGGGGAGGGACCAGCCTGGGGTCCGAAGCACGGCTGGGGGTTCTCGAGCATTGCTTCGATTCTCTGGGCTTAGGCGCTCCAGCAGCCTAGACGTTTCTCGAGGTGTGTGAGCATCTCAATCGTGTTTTGTTGGAAAGAGCCATCCCTCGGACTCCTGCTCTCTTACGTGAGGCCCTGGAGCTGAGCCTTGGGCTAAGCTCAGCGTCCTCGCCTCCTGCCTTTCCCTCTCCCAGGCGGGGGGATGCCAGAGCTCCGCATTTCTGGGGAGCATCGCCCTGGCTGCAGGAGGCTCCAAACAGCCCTGGCGAGAACCACGTGCTTGGCCCGGCAGGACTCTGCTTCGGCTCGGTTCTGCTGCTGTGGGGGTTTAAGTCGGAGGCTCAGCCGGAGAGGGGACGGCAATACGGTGAAGGAAGAGAGAGCACGTGGAACGAGCCAGCGACAGCCCTGCCCTTCACCGGTTGCCTTGCTTTGGGTGTGGGATCGCTGTGCACCAGGTGGGAACAGGCCTCTTCCTCCCAGCTTTGATCAAGAAAAAGCAGGAAGTTTTAGGTGATTAAAAATGGATTTTTTTTTTCCATTTCTTCTTTTTTTCTGATAATCCACAAACGTGCAAAGCAGGATTGTTAGCTGCAGACCTAGAGAACAATTGAATTAGTCTTCTGAGGCTGGCGTTGCGATGAAGGACAGTATTGCTACCTCGGAAATCAGTGCAGGGAGGGATGATCTCTGCAAACAGTACCAGGCAGTGGGGGGAACCAGAACTGGGCAGGTAGGTTTTGCCCAGTTTAAGATGTTTAGTTGTAGCACAGGAGTGGGCACTCGGCTGTGAGCTGGAGTCTGCTGGGAAAATGTGTCATTTTACATCTGAAGCAAAGATGCCTCTGCCTGGGTTCACGCTGAGAGGGGCTGAACTCCTCACCTCTCAAGTGTTTTGTCATTGCGTGTCACGTCTCAGCAGTCGGAGCCTGAGGCTTCTGTGGCACGGATGCCCTGGGGAGCTGCCAGATGCCCAGAGGGTAAAGCTCAGAGAACGAAGGGTGGACAACACGCCCGGGGTAACTCACCCAAGCAATCCTTCTGCAGTTTTCTGCCCGCACTGCTTCTTCCTGTGGGAGAGCATCCGTGATGGATCCCTCTTCTCCAGAACAATGGGTACATCATCACCCTCCCTGGAGCTTCTCACATGCTCCTGAAATGCAGTGAGGCTGTTTCTTATCATTTCCAGTCTCAAGTTTTGCTTTGCACTCGGTGAACCCGGTGGCTTCTTGCAATTTTGGAGTCAGATGGGGGGACAGACAGTTTTCCTGCTGCTGCCTTTGTGGCTTTCGTGGTGAGGTCACCTCGTGCAGAGATTCCGGTTGATCTGAAGGGACACCTCGGTGGGGCTCATGCCTCCCAGTGACTGGGGTCAGCTCACCCTGGAGCCTGGCTCTGTCAGCAGTTGCGCTGATACTTACCTCTGTGCACATCTCTACCCATCGATCAGCATCAGGAAGTGGTTTCTGCCTCTACAAAATTCAAACCAGGCAGCGCCTTGCTGACTGACAAATGTGCTAGAGGCCTTAGCAAAGCAAGCAAATGTTCCCACTGTATTTTTGCCAGCCCTCCTGGCCCTCCTGCTGACAGGCTGCTGCTGATAGCAACTCCAAATCGCCAGCAACCTGTAATCAGTGGAGAGTTCCTTTGGGAGAAGAGACAGGCTCAGTTTTCATCAGCAAAGTGCATGGTCTGCAGCCAGAGCAGCTCCCTGGCTCATCTCACTTGTTTCTCTTTAATATATATTATTTCTCCAGCGACTAGAGGGAGCCCGGCGGGGTACGAACGCGACAAGAGCCTGGAGCTCTTTGCTTGTTGAAGAAAGGGAACGTGCTGTGCTGGGAGGCTGCGTGGGGTTCTGAGCATGGCCCTTGCTCTTGGCTGCTGAAGACTGGCCTCAAGCCTCCCTGGAGTGGACGGCAGCCCTGTGCTGGGCCAAGCTGTGCTGGACTGCTCAGGGCCTCCTCCAGCCCAGTGGGACCTGCCCTGGGTGGCCATGGCCCTGTGGTGAGGGGTGCTCAGCAGGATGTTTACCCCCCACATCCCAGAGAAGTGCGGTCTGCGGAGCGGACGCGCAGTGATGGAGAGCGAGTGGCTTCCCCAGGGTACCCGTGTGTGCTTAGAGGGAACTGGGTCTGCGTTTCCTAAATTAGTGCCCTGCCCGCTGGACTGTCCTGCCTGGCCCCATCCCACACAGCTACACGGGCATCTCTCCATGCCCAGCCTTGAACTTGCTCACGCCAAAATTGGTGGTTCAGTTAAAAGCTTTAAAAAATTGTTCATCTTCCATTGCTTTGGGTCTGATTTTGCTATTTTAAAATATTTTATAGAGGTATTTATACAAATATTTGTGTGAAGTGTTACCAGGCTTCTCTGTTTTCGTATTAATTTGACACTGGCTTTAAAAACAGTTGAAAATCCTTTTTTCCTGTCAAGCCCAGAGTGCATCCTGTCACTACAGGCTTAAATCCTCGCTGAACTTGGCAAGACTTATGACCAAAGTCACTGTGGTGCTTGTGAAGACAATACCCTTCATTATGCGTGAGTGTCATCAAGTCACGCTCGTTAAATCCTCTAATCCTAGTTAAAAAACTACAGCCTCGCCCAAAATGAATGTGCGGAGAGACCAAATTGGTCCTGTTGGACCAGTTTTGATTTAATATCTCTGGAAGCAGAAGACAAAACATCTTCCACAAAGCCAGTGCTATCATGTCATTCAGATAATCTAAGATGAGGAGGTGAGGAGCTTGCCCCAACTCCACCCATCCGAGCGGAGGATCCCAAGTGCAAGCAGGAGGCTCTTGTGCTTTTGGGATGGTGCCAGTAAGAAGTCAAGTATAAAAGGAGGAAAATACCTTTGAAAATCTTAATCTTCTAAAGAAATAAAAGATAATTGGGAACCAAAAATAAAAGAAGTCTGGCCCTGAGAGTGAGACTTATTCTCTGTAATGGTTAAAAATGAGTCATCAGCATCCTTCAGGGATCAAAGGCTGGAGATGCTGCCAGAGAGGAGGGTGAGTTGGTCCAGGTGGCATCTCTGCCCCATCCCTGGAGGGACTGAGCTTTGCTGCCCACAGATGGGGCTGGTGCAGCCATCTACAGGGACAGCCAGATTGTGCCTTGTACATCTCCCCCCTGTGAGCAGGGTTCTGTTTCTGTGTTTGCAATCTGCTTTCCCACACGTAAATTCTGGTCCCCGCTGTAATTGGTCCTTGGCCGGCTTTTCAGAGCCTTGGCTTGGGAGGTGCCTGTGCTTTTTCAAAGGATGGGTCGTGCACTTCTCCCCTGGGTCTGAGCTTCTTGCTCAGCCCTGGAGCAAAGCGGTGTGCTCTTCCTGTTGCTCTTCGGAAGCCCTGTCTGGTGATTATCTGCAGACCAGAAACAGAACCTTTGCTGTTTGGTCTCCAGCTGAAATACTGCTTGTGTTCTTATGCGCGGTGCAATACCTACACATCTGTGCACAGCTGGGCTATTTGTGCAATAGAAGCACAGATTTTATTTCCTGCCCTGCTTTTCTTTCTTATTGCCCCAGCAAATAGCCCACTGAGCCAGCGAAGAACACTTATGGGGAGCAGAGATTTCTTTTTTCAAAGCACTTTTTTAGCTGAGCTGTCATGGAGTGGTTCCATCCTGCGTGTCCTCTGTAGTAGGGACTGACCCTGTGAGTCGCTGTGAGAGCTGACCTGGTTTGGAGGTGGCATCTCCAATGGCAAGGGGAGGTCCGGAGGGGATTGTGGCCATCACGTCCGTTCCTGTGGCACACCGTTGTGTGCCCCTCTGGGATGCTGCCTGGAGCTGTGGTGGTCCTGGGGCTCCTTCCTCTCTACTCCCGTAAAACATCCCCTCCCTGCCATGCTTTGCAGATTGAAGCGCTTATGATGGAGATGCAGAACCCAGATGTGGGCATCAAGACGCAGACGCAGAGGGTGATGATCACGAACATCCCACACGCTGTGGCAGGTAAGAGCTTTGCTGGGGACAGGGACCTGACCAAGGAAGTTCATCAAGGAAAGGCTGTGTGGACCCCATGGCTGCCCCCAGGTTGCCACTGCCTGGCTGCATACTGGAGCCTGTGTTCCCAATAAATACTTCCTGTACATCCTTTGAGACATACCTGCTCCCTTTATCTCGCTGTCACTCGTGTCTCATTTCCCTCCTAGCTCTGAATCAGAGACACAAAGATTGCTCTTTTGTGTGAGTTTAAATCAAGTGACCTTGCTTTCTCTAAGCATAGAGATGAGCAGGTGCTTCAGCCTCCGGACCTGTCATCTTCCCAGTGAGGCTGGATCACCAATAAAAATAAAGATTGAAATACTATTAAAATAGGCAGCCTGGAGTCAGACTGAAAGGTGGCACTTCAGAAATGAGCAATAAACAATGGGTCTCCTTTTTAATGTTTTCTGCTAATAGTTTTTCTTCAGTATGCAGGAAAAGAACAAAATATTCAACCCGCTTCTCTGCCTCTAAATGCTAGTTTTTCCTCCTCCAAGCAGGCTGAAGATGAAATGGACGGGGAGCTGTGCTGTGTCACGTATGGCATTACAGGCAGCTCTTATCGCAGCCTCCTCTGTGCCTGCTCCTTTCACAGGGCGCTCTCCGTACCTCTGCTTCCCTGGTCTCCAAGCCTCCACAAAAGCTCTTGTGAGGGATCTTCTCCTATAAATATTCACACATACAGTACCAAAGCTTCCTACTTCTGCTTTGGTCTTTCTGCAGGACTTTGAAATTAAGAAGGAAAACTCCCACTGAAACCAGTGAGCTCACTCCAGGCGACACGGGAGACAGATTATTTTTTCCCCGCTGTATTTGCAAAGCCTGGTAGGCCCCACGTGTTGTTTTCTCCAACTTATTTTTTTAAAAACGAGGGAGCAGGGGCGCTGAGATAAAGTCCCTTGCCCCTGGGTACAGTCAATGTAGTGAGGAGAACTTGGATGACGTCTGAGGCTTGTTTTCAGCAGCACCCTCCGCGCATCACAGTACAATCCACATCCTGGCTTACAGAGCTGTTACGCAGCCCAGTTTGGGGGAGTGCTTTGTGTCTGCAAAGAAGCTGGCTGCCTCCGCTAGCTGTTGGTGAGTGGGGAGGGCAGCACTGCAGAAAAGATTGCCCGGTACTGAAGATGACATGCCTCCTAGATTAAGAGAGGGGGAACAAGTACTTCTCTTGGTGTCTGGCCAGTGTAAATACCACTTCCTAAAAGGCCATGGCACGATGATGTGGTGGGAAGAGGCCTGTTGATGCGTGCTGTCTGCTTGTCTCCCTTGTTGCGTGCTGTCTGCTTTATTCTGCTTCCTTAACCAGAATTGCTACAAGTTCCCTCTTGCATAAGTCATAAAATCTAGTCAGCTTCTGACAGGAGAGCGAGTTCCCGTCTCCTTGCGTGGCAGCCGTCACTCTCTAAACTACGATATTTTTGGTGTTGTGCATGTTGCTTGTATGCTGATGGGCTTCTGGGTGTTGCAAAAATAAACCAATTCATGTTTAGTGAGGGAATGGTGAAGATGTTAGTGGTGGACACAGATCCACTGAAGAGCTTGGCCCTTCACATGCAGGACGTTAAGTAGTTAAATTCAGCGTCAGTAAAATGGCTCGCAACAGAAAAAACCTCCGTGCTAAATGCACACCTTCAGGGGGAAAATGCTTACAGAGAGCTGTCTGGAAATGAGTGATGAGATAATCCTTTAACTTCATCTATTTCAGGATGCAGGCGGTAGGATAAGAGCTCTGAGCCCCTATTAGAAAGTTAAGTCATCACTGCAGTGTCACGGAAGGTCAGCACCTCAGTCTGCAGTCCTAGGGGATGCTTGGGGGAATTGGTCAGGGAATGTGTGTGTTTTTGCCCTCTTTAATTGGAAGGATGTTCATGAAATTTGCCCCCTGAACATGAAGTTAAAGCTGCTGGAGGTTTCTGCTGACTATGGGTACGACTGGCCACAGCCCACCCACAGAACTGGGAGCGATGGTGTTTGTAAGGGCAGACATTCTATTTCCCTTTGATATGTCCTGTGACCACGACAGCTTGGATCTGAGACTCAGACATCCCTCCTGCACTGAAAGTTGTGTCTTTTAAAGGGCTGGAGAGGACCGGTCGCTGGTCTCTCACTAAAGCTGAGACAGGACTGTGCTCTGTGAGCCTGGGTTGCAGTGAATCTTGCACAACAGGGCGCTTCACCTTCGCTGGCCGTGGAAGCTGTTGCACTCCTTAAATCCTTCCTAAGCCAATGCTGAGGGTTTAAGCGTTGCTCAGGCCACGTGTGCTTCTGCACCCTCGCGCTGTGCCGTCCTGAGGTCCCTGCCTGCCTCGGGCTCCCTCTCGCAGAGGCTGATGCCTGCTGGGCTGGGAGAGAGCCTGGATGATGGCAGCAGAGCCAGCGAGGGACTGGCAATTCGTTTCATCTCTGCTTCTCTTGCGTGGCGCGTTTGAAAGCATGCGTGCAGGAAGGGGTCTGTGCACTCGGTGGGACGCAGAGCATGGCGGGGGTGAGGACTGGAGAGGTCTCACTTTGGCCCGTGGGTTTTGGCACACTCCCTGTTTCAAGCATCTGACGTTTTCTTTGCTTTACAGGTAACGATGTATTGCAGTGGATTCTCCAGCGCTTGCAGATCGCTGAGGAAGGTGGGTAGTAATGTAAAAATTGAGGCTTTTTCACCTTCAAGTTGTAAAACTTTGAGGTCTCCGTCGTCAAAACCTCTTAGATGAATTCTCTCTTGAGTAGCAGCTTGCTTTTAAATTCCAGTGCAGTGTTTCCCTGCAATGAAATCGTATACCTTTTCCATTTTCAGAAGCACTTCACCTGGGGGACCTATTTGTCAAATATGGATACATCTACCCTCTCCAGGAGCCAAAGAATCTCACCCTTAAGACAGATGGCAGCCTGTACAGGTTTCAAGTGAGTTGTGCCTTGTGTAAAGCCATTGAGAGGGAGTTCAGCACTGGTTTTAGCAACAGGCAGCTGGGGCGGTTCCCCGGGAGCTGTAGTCATGAGGCCGTGCTGTGTAGCCATGCTCATCGTTCAGTGGGCAGGAGGAAGGGATCCACAGAGCAGCCTCAGGCCAATTACAGTTTACAGGCAAACTGTCATAATTCCTTCGACTGCGTTTAGTGTCCTCGTTCAAGTTTACACCAGCTGTGCTTTCTTCCAAATGTGTGCTCCCTCCCAGCAGCAAATGGAACCGCTGGTTGAAAACAGGATGATCTGGGGAGGTGGAATAACGAGTATACAAAAAGCACAGTGGTAACAGGATGTTGTCAGGGTTCACAGTCGGACTGTTTCCACCGCGATGGGAAACTGGGGTATCCTCATTCGTACTTGGAGTGAGGAGTCTGCTTCCCGCATGGTGCCAAACTAGGCTCCAGCGTCTCCGTCGGAATGCTGAGCAGCCAGGAGAGGTTGGCCACGTAAACCTGCAGAGCAGGGATGGGTTTGACATGGAGAGGCAGAGGAGAGGTTTCCTCTCCCTCTGGTGTGGGTGGTGCTGTGCGCCTCTTGGAGTTGAAGGCTGTTGTGCGCTAACAAAAGGTTTTTTTCCCGCAGACCCCCTATTTTTGGCCCGTGCAGAGCTGGCCTGCTGATGACACAGATTACGGTAAGTTGTGCGTGTTTAGGAGGCGTGGTGCCAGCCCGTGTGTTTGAGCACGCAGGCCTGCACCGTGTTTGCTCTTCTTCCTGTGCTGCGTGTCCACATGCCATGACCAGCTCTGGCATTTTCTTTCATGCTGTTTTGTGAATAATCCTCAGTAACGCTGAATTGAGGGGACGCTCTGGATGTGAGAGCCTTGTGGTAGCCTTGATGAGAGAAAGTGCTTAAGCTCCTCTGACGTCCCACTAAGATCCATCCGGCTGGAACACATCTGAAATAGTCCGCTGGGTAGGGAAGACGTTAAACACAAGGTTAGGTTTCCCTGAGCAGTTAAATGTATTCCTGGGTCAGAGCCCAGGTCAGAGCCCTACGGTCTTCCTGTAGATTTGGATCATGGCCTACATTTAGAGATAGTTCTTTCTTGTTATAGTGCCCAGTGGTGCCCAATATCTCCTGATGGCTCTTTCCTATCATTTTTCTGTTGTCTTTATAATGCTTATTATTATAGGGCTGCTCATGGGTTTTGCCTTCGTCTGCTCCTGCGGGCTGATTTGTTTATTCCAAGATTGTCCTTGGTGGCTTTTATCTCCCATTACGCTGTAGATCTTCTGGGGAAATAAAAGAATCCCATTTTAGATTGGAATGGTTTTAATAGAGCTTGTAATGAAACATTGCCCTGTGTTTGGAGAACTTGGAGGTCAAACACCGAAGAACCTCAACACCTTAAAGATCTGGTTGAGTGTCCTTTGACCCGTGAAGCTCTACCCGGGTTCCCAAAGGAGGGGTGACGGCTGGCAGAAGGCACGCACCGCCCATTGCGCGCGGCTGCTCCCAGACTGGGCACTGGCTCACGAAGCATCAGCGGCAAAATGAAAGCACGGAGTTAGTTTTTCTTCTATGAGCTTGGAGCTTGTGCCCAGGAAGATACTGTAACAGATTCCTGTGTTTGTCACAGGGGTAAATTTTTAATTATTCTTGCGTTTGGTTGTCTAAATATAACTGACTGCTTATTTGCTCCTCCCTCCGCAGCAATTTACCTAGCAAAGAAGAACATTAAGAGGAAAGGGATTTTAGAAGAATATGAAAAGGTAAGGAGACGTTGCACTTGGTCCATGCAGGCCCCTCGTTTGCTGTAGCTTTAGCCCTCTGCTGATGAACGGAGTGTGGCAAAAAAATCACCTCTTCAATTGCATGTGGTGTTACCCCACCAGTGTCAAAAGCCGACATTTTGGAGGTGAAAAAGTGGCCAGTACAGGAGAATACTCTGAAGCCAGTGCTGGTTTTAGCAGGGATAATTGCCCGCCTTGCAGTTGAACTGTTGCAATTCATGTAATTATGTTCAGAACAATCCAAGTTTCTTGGCTTGGTTGCCAGCCTGGCTGAGTTGAGCTATGGAGATTCAAGAAAACCCTAGCATGGGAATGCCTTGTCCAGAATTTTCACACTAACTGCGCTTTTTTTTTTTTTTTTAATTTTTATTCCAGGAACATTACAACATGCTCAATCAAAAAATAAACTACAAGTGGGATTTTGTTATTATGCAGGCCAAAGAGCAGTATAAGTGAGTTGACTTGCATTCCCTTGTTGCATCACTGGGGAGGGTATGAGGAAGCAGGGCTTCACTGTCTGGGTACACACTGAAATTACAGTTTAAAAACATAAACTGCAGCTTTGAAATAACTCTCAAGTGACCCTCAAGTTTGTAAAACAAACCTGCCTTTGCTATCAGTTGGGGGTTTCTCCATTTAGCAAGGAAACCTGGTTCACTTCACACTTTGAGTGAAGGATTGGAGCCATTTTCAAATGCCTGGACACCCCCTTGCAAAGCCTCACCCACGTGTCTCTCCCGGCCTGACACTTTTCCGCCAAAGCCGTGGAATTGGTGTGGTTTGTGAGAGCGAGAGCACACGTGGGGGTGGGTGCCTTTCCTGCCCACCCATGCCTCTGCGGGTGGTTTTTGCACGTGCGTAAGCGTGAAAGGGGAGGTGTAGATTTTGCACCTGATGTGAGTCCCTGCAGAGGCTGAGCTCTGCTGCTGCCGTGTGCAAGCCTTCATTAGAGACAGCTTCTTTTTGCTCAGGATTGTCCACAAGCATTCGTGGATCAGGGCGCTGGCCCTGGGACCTGTTACTGATGGGATTCAGTTCCTGCTCACATGTCTCACAGCTGAATTGAATGGCCAGAATCAAGGAGTCATCAGTGTTCCCAGCAGGCACTTCTGGGGAAAACTCCAGAGTGCAACCTCAGGCATCCTGCCAAAATGACTTGACTTTAGGAGCTAAATCCTTGAAATTTGCCGGAAAGTTAGTGAACATGAGATGGGATTACTCCTTTGGGGATAGGACCTTTCCTACTTGTGTGGATTCCTTTCACCTTTTTTTACCTCCCAGGATGGCAGGCACTGCATCTGCTCTTCAGCAGTGTTTCTGTGTCTGCTGGGATGGCAGCCAAGTCGTCAGAATACAGCTCATCAGATAACTGCCTCATTAAACACGAGACTGTTGTTCTTGTAAATTGAGGTCAGACTCAGGCTAAGGGATGCCAAATGCAGTTTTAAAGTTAGATACCGAGACTGTGTCTGAACTAGTAGATTAAACATGTCTGAGGCTGTTTGCTGCTGCTGCTGGGGCAGACTGGTGCAGGACAGCCCACATCCACCCTATTAACCACAGCAGGGTGGCCACATGCAAACAGCCTTTTGGGAATGCTCCCTTACCCTGCAAAGTCCCAAATTGTGTGCAGGACTTGTCTGGGAAAAAATTAGTTGGTCTGAGCCCAAACCATGCTGGTGCTTCTTCTGTTTAATAGTAGAGGTGATTTGGGTTTTAGTGCCTGGGAACACTGCTTGGCCCCGTTTCCAAATCGTTTCTGTGAGAAATGCCCCCCTTTACTGTGAGACGGGGACGAGACGTGTCCGGGCTTTATCTCTGCGTGGCAGTCCGGGGGATGTCGGAGATGGATAAACACGAGGCAGCAGGACTGACCACAAGTAGCGGGTTGTTAGTGTAAAACTACCGAAGGGCTGTCTGTTTAATCAGAAGAGGATGTGTCTGCTCCCAGCTGAGCTCAGGACGATGATTTCTCAAAAGCTCCAGTCCTGTGTGGCCATGTGAACAGTAGGATCTGCAGCCCTTAATAACGGGGGTAAGGTGTGGTCAGGGGGCTGCATCAGAGCATCACACAGTCAGGCTGGGATCCCTGGGGCAGGGGAGACTGAAGGTCTCTTTTCTCATCCCACTGGTTTTAGAACAAAATTAATGAATTCCCCTGTTCTTGGCTTTGCAGGGCAGGGAAGGAGCGGAAGAAGGCGGACAGATACGCCCTGGACTGCCAGGAGAGAGCCTACTGGCTCGTGAACCGAACTCCTGTAAGTAGAGGTGTCAGCAAGTGGCTTTAGTGCCTCGGGGGTGCCCTCCCTGCAGCCTCCTGGGACAAAGTCCTGCAGGCTAAGGGCATGGAGTGGGCACAGCCTCTTTGTCGTGCACCCTGTCCCTTCTCCTTGGGTCAGCCCAGGCCTGCCCCAAGCCCACACCTTTCTCCCTGGTTGCTCTCAAAGGTGCAAGGCAGGGAGGGCTGGCTGTAGCGCCCCTGCTCGCAGGGAACTGTTGCCAGATTTGGGGGGCAGAGCTGCCCTGGGGCACTGCTGGCTGGGAGCTGCTGGCAGTGGAGCCCTCTGGGGCTCGGGGCTCTCCTCTGCGTTCATGTGAACCACAAACTATGAAACAAATGAGTTACAAAGCTTTTGATGTTTCATGTTCCTAACAGCCCGGCATGCTAGACGTCCTAGATTATGGATTAGACCGCGTAACGGATCCCAATGAAAATAAGGTAAACCAGGTGAGACAGTTGGTTTTGGTTTTTTCCCACCTACTGAATTTGTTTGGGAAGACCCAGACAATGTCCCTGGGACTCTGGTTTTTTGGGCACCACAGGCTGAGCAAGTCAGCTCAGCCCTGTGAGCCAAACGGGCCAGGAGTTGAAGCCCTCTCATTGTCTGGGGTGTGGGGCCCTCAAAACCGGCTCTGGCAGCATCTTTTGCCTTGAAAATACTTTGTCAGCTTTCTTGCCGCACCAGTTAGTGTGAGTGTTTAGCTACAGGACGTGTTTTCTCTGCTGGTGAAGCTGAATTAAGGAATCCTCTACCTCCGGATGCTTGTTGCTGCCTTTTTATTAGTGGTGAATGGACTGTGGAGGGGGGAACTGTGGGATGTAAAGGATCAGAGGAATGATCCAGGTTTAAAAACCTCCAAAAAAGCATAAAGTACCTCCAAAAGCGTAATGTGTGCTAAGAAGATGGAGGAGTTGCTGTGTGGACAGGACCCACAATATGTTGCGGAAGAACGCATGTCTTATAGTTAGACCATAAAGGAACGGACGACTATGGAGGCTGTAACTGGGTGGGACTGGTTCAGTCATAGAATCACAGAATGGCTTGGCTTGGGAGGGACCTTAATGCCCACCCAATCCCACCCCCTGCCATGGGCAGGGACACCTTCCATAGCCCAGGGTGCTCCAAGCCTCATCCAGCCTGGC